TGCACAGAGAAGACATGAGTTCAGTTCCCGTTTCCGGAGGGTGTTTAATTTTTCTTTCAAAATAATTAATTTCTTATTCTGTCGAATATCTCCACCTGTCTCTTGGGACGTTGTATCTCCCTCAGTCAGGGTTCGTGATGACAGGCAGGGTCGAAGCAGCCCACCTTTTAAATGTTTTAATCGGTTCGATGAAGACGTAAAACTTCTACAATTTCAATAATTAGGCTACAAAACTGAGTCGATAGCGCTGTAAAACACCTACTCAATCAATGAATCAATAATTACAATTACAAAGTCACTGAGCTTATTGTCTCCCTTCCCTGTACTCCCACGTTCACAAGGAGGAAGGGGGAGCGACTGTGGTGGACAGACCGCCAGCCTTGACGTACCAGGAAAAATTGGACAAAATTAAGAAAAAGCTTCGCGATAAAGCTCTGATGAAAAAAGCTATAATGGTAGGCGCCTTTCACGGCACGTATTGAGCATGTATCTATATAAGTAACAACCTGTCATTGTTTTATAGTGCTGGGAGGCACAAAAACGACGTATGTGTATATTATTATAAGTATTTACGTACACTATGCACGGTTCTCGCTCTCTTCGCACGTGATAGATAGGTGTGCTCTGGTGACTCCAGCTCCACATTATCTGTCTTTGGGTTGCTTTTTTTTCTTGACCTGTGTTTCCCTTTTTCCATATTTGGAGTTATGCCCTATTGGTTTTTGGCTTTGTTGAGGTCTAAATACTGTTGTGTCCAGTTGAAGGTTTCTATTATTTTGTTCTTTTTCTTGTTTCATTTTGCTTAGTTTTTTTTCTGGGTTTTTTTTGGGGGGGTGTTGTTTTGGGGAATTTTGTTTGTTTGTTTGTTGTTGTTGTTGTTTTTGGGGGGTGGAGGGGGGGTTGGGGAGGGGGGAGGAGGTGGGTTGTTTGGTTGTGTTTTTCGGGGAAAGGGGTATCAATAATTGTAAGATATCATATCCACCACTGTCGACACTATTACTGTATACCTACAGATACACGAAGTTAACAACGTGGTAAAAGAAGAACGGAGCAGTGAACGGAGTCTTGTTTACTGACACACTTTTCTAGCCTTATTTCTCTGTGATGCATGTAATTGTATTATATTGTGTATAACAGACTATTTTTAAAAATATTTTTATAGTAGAGGGTTTTACGGCGCTCACAACTGCGTAAGGCCATATGAGCGCCATATAACAGACTATGCATCCATGTGGTATAAAAAGTATTGTTCGTCATGCTTTCTTTGAATGTTGTTTGAAATCGTATGTTCGTGTACTATCACTACAGCAGCAATAAAACAATAGCATTTTATAACAGGAGCTGCAACAAAATCATCATCATCATCATCATCATCATCATCATCATCATCATCATCATCATCATCATCATCATCATCATCATCATCATCATCATCATCAG